CTCTACCTCTTTATCTCTTCTTTCACTTTCAGAAAGAGGAATATCAACATATGGTTGACCCTTGAACAATACGGGTTTCAATCACATGAGTCTACTTATCCACATGCTGTCATCCACCTCTGCCGCACCTGAGACAGCAAGACCAACCCCCTCCTCTTCCTCCTCAGCCTACTCAACATGACGATGACAAAGATGAAAACTTTTATGGTGACCCACTTCCACTTAATGAATAGGAAGCATATTTTGTCTTCCTTATGACTTCTTAATAACATTTTCTTTTCTCTAGCTTACATTACTATCAGAGGACAGTATATAATGGAATACACATAACATACAGAGTATGTGTTCATCAACTGTTTGTTAGTGGTAATCCTTCTGGTCAACAATAGGCTATTAGTTAAATTACCTTTGCAAAATTATGACATAAGAGAAATCTGACATAGTTGATTCTATCTTGCTTCTAACCTTCCAGCTGTCATTGGTCATTCCTGGGAGCAGGCCAAGCTAACTTTGGGAGAAATTTAGTTTATAATTTAACCTTAAAGCAAGGTTCATAATAGCCCTTCCCAATACTAAACCACCTTTGTAAAACTAATGAAGGTCTACAAGGTTAGGACGAGAGGGGCTGGAATTCTGCTAAGATCTATGTGTACTTACAGATGACCAGGCATTGTTCTGTAGGTCATGAGATGTATAACTTCCCCCAACTACTCCCATAGATAACATCGCTATTGTAGAACCTAAGATTGAGATGTTGGGGTATTTTTCATACTTTTGCATTCTGGCAACTGACTGACTCCCCACCCAAAGGCACACTTGTGACTCGACCCAACTGGTCCTGTGGCCCCCAGATCCAGAAGTGAACCCAGTGCACAAGGACCATTTTCCATACCCCTAAGAGCGCATTCTCAATGAATCAGCAGCACCTGTTCCTTAGTCCCCTGCACCAAACTATGCCTGAAAACTTGTAACCTCCAAGCCTTCAGAGAGACTGATAGTAACTGTCTCCCATGTGGCTGGCCTCACATCAGTTGCACCCTTTCCTCATTGCAATGCCACGGTCTCAGGGAACTGATCTTGCCTGTGCAGGAAGTAGGACAAACCCATCAGGCAATTCCATTAGTTACGTTTTAGGGGGACCAAAAAACTATGCAGGGGTTTTTGGCTGCATGGGGGGTTTGGCACCCTTAGCCCCCACATCATTCAGGGGTCAACCATACTGACATTCCCCTCGAAGTCCAACTATCCATTCAGTAGGGTCTCCTCCTGCCTATGAAAGGGAATGATGATTTTCCACCATCATGGAGCAGGAGGGGAAAGACATCAGAACAGAGCAGGTGCTGTGTAGTCGCATAGGAGACACTTCAGAGACAGGTCTTGTACCTCGGACATAAAAGAAGACACTCGGTAATAAAAGTCATCGCAACTGACTCTGAATTGCACTTCATTCTTGCTTGTTGAAAGGAAAGCCATGTAAATACTTACAGTAAATTAAGTTTGACATCTTCCTTCAGAAGAGAAGCGTCCTAATTTCCAGCACATGCCGAGAGCAGCTGGATGCGCCATCCTTGCTCCCTAATTACCGATTAACACAACAATGGTCTAATCATCCCTCCACATTTGAGGGATAATTTTGATTATTGCCTCTCCACACTTGAAGTGGGCTTCCTGCGGCCTGGTTTGACTGGTACTTCACTCTCCAGTTAGGAGGACCCTGCTCCAGTCACAGCAGGGCAATCACTGCACATGTCAGGCAAGGAGTCTGTACTCAGTGGCCAGAAAGCATCGTACAACAGCTCCATGCTGTCCAGACCTCGTGCGGTTATGTCCCTGGTCTGCAGTTAAACTGAAACACTCAGATGTAAATCTGACCAGATGGAAGAAGGTTTTCGGAAATCACTGTTTGCCTTTCCCCAGTGACACAGGTTGCCCTTAAGACCTGAGTGGCCAGATCAGTGAATGAGGAATGAGCAGCTTGGCTTCAGTGTGGGACCTTTTGGTAAGCAACACAAGGGGAATCCTTAAGTCCACCTATAAAATGTGGGTCATATGAATACTACCATGACTATGGTGCTTATTTTGGGTGGGGTGGTTATTATGATACTTTAAGTCCTGGGGTACATGCGCAGAACATGCAGGTTTGTTACATAGGTATACACATGCCATGGTGGTTTGTCACATCCATCACCCCGTCATCTACATTAGGTAATTCTCCTAATATTATCCCTCCCCTAGAGCCCCTCCCCGCTGCTATCCCTCCCCTAGACCCCCACCCCCACCGACAGACCCCGGCATGTGATGTTCCCCTCCCTGTGTCCATGTGTTCTCATAGTTCAACACCCACTTATGAATAAGAACATGCAGTGTTTGGTTTTCTGTTCTTGTGTCAGTTTGCTGAGAATGATGATTTCCAGTTTCATCCATGTCAACTATGGGGCTTTTGATAAGTCTGTACACGTTAGGATGCTCCATATTCTGTTTGTAATGTCACTAGAACAATTTTTTTTAATGACTGGGTGATTCTAACATAAGAGAAGACAACAGCATTTGCCCTCTCAAATTCAAAGGACAGAGCATTCATGCTGCGATGATAGTGGGAGGATATTTTTTCTCTTAAGCCTGGGGCTTCTCGAGGTGGATCACACATTATCAGTGCATTTTCCCATCCTGAAATTAAGTGGTGATGTTCTTGGTAGATTCCGCAGAGGAATGAGCATGACATTACCTAATCCCAGCCCTGCCACCATTAGCTTGGGGTCCATCTTTGACCCTCTGCAGCATCAGTGAGATTGGTGTGGTTCTGGGTGGACTTCGAGATAGCTCCACATAGTTCCAGACTTTTGTGATTTTTCAACTCCCTTATGAAAACAGAGGACCTCATCTGGGAATGCAGCCTCACAAGTATACGCTGTTCCTCAGACTCCCTGTGAATGGAGAGCAAATGAATGCATTGCTTGGCATTTGCTTTCCATTTGCCATCTCTCTCACCATTCTCTCCCAGGCTGGTCCTGGTGATGTTAGTGATAATGTAGCAATTATGCAACAAGCACTGTACATGTATTATTTCATCTATAATCTAACAATCTTGTAATAACATCGTCCATGTTATCATCCCTGTTTTACAGATATAAAAACTGTAACAGAGAGAAAGAGATTAATAAATTCACAGAGGTTGTAGATTAAGTCAGAATTTGTACGCAGGTCCACTCGTTGTCCAAACTCGTATGATATAGTATCCTATATTGCCTCCTTGAGGCTTCCCTCTCCTTGACGTTTCACTGCTTTATAAAGCAATATTAGTAACTCTAGTCGGGAGACTGGCCTTTTAACTGCTGAGACATCTCGCATGAGTGGAATCCTCAGATTCTTTCTTATATGTGCAGTCACATGATATTTACTTGAAGGAAAAATACCTAAGGATTATGAGTTTGGGCTCATAGCAAAGGAAATGAATTTGTACCTGTGAGGTTTGGAAACCACATTCTCAAGGGGGTTAGCCCTAGGACATGGCCACTAGAGAAAGCATATCCATGGATTTAATCTTAGAGAACACTGAGTGTATACATCCAAGGCACTCAGGATGCAATGACAAATAAAACAGTCCCTGGCCTTGCATGCTTCCAGTAGGCAAACTGGATAAGAGGTCATTACAACCCAGCATGGCAAATCCTGTGAGCAAATGGCCTGTGACAACCAGGCGGTGGGCAGCTAATCCAGGCAGAGGGTGTCAGGGAAGCCACATTCGTCTCTGAAGGCAGAATCCAGCATTCCATCAGTGTCCTTTTCATCATGTGGTTCAAAGGGTCACCAGTTTTCCCAGGAAGACACATGTTTATCTGTCCTCTTTCATTAGTATAAGAGAGCTGGAGATACCTAGTGATACATTCTTAGGCTGCAATGTTTAGTCAACTGAGAAATGCCAGCCTAAAAACATTCAGGGGACAATTTGGGAACATTTGGTGGGAGACTACAGAAGACGAGTTCCCACACTGTCACCTCTCCAGTGGGGAACGTATCCATTCATCCCCAAATCTTTCAGAATTCCTCTACGGGCTGGTCTGACGCTAGCCTAAAGAGTGACCAAAGTGTATATAAATTGTAGTTTATGTGGAAAACAAAAATGTAGAAAGCAAGCAAGAAAGAAACCCTGACATCTTTATGAAATATGCCTGAAATACAGCTAAATTTTATATATATATATATATATATATTTTTTTTTTTTTTTTTTGAGATGGAGTCTCATTCTCTTACCAGGCTGCAGTACGGTGACAGGATCTCAGCTCACTGCAACCTCTGCCTCCTGGGTTTAAGCGATTCTCCTGCCTCAGCCTCCCGAGTAGCTGGGACTGCAGGGGCCTGCCACCACGCCAGGCTAATTTTCGTTTTTTTACTAGAGACAGAGTTTCACTATGTTGGCCAGGCTGGTCTCAACTCCTATCTTCAGGTGATCCACCCGTCTCAGCCTCCCAAAGTGCTGGGATTATAGGGATGAGCCACAGAGCCCAGCCTGCTCAATGATAAAATTTTAAAATCACTCTAAGAGGCAGAAGTAGTTGGAGGAATTCATGGCCTAATACACATTTCCCCCAGATCCTGTGAGCAAGCACTGTAGGACAGTTATGGCAAAACGAAATGCTCTGGAATTTGTTGAAAGATTGCTGTGGCAGGATTCTCTCTTAGGACCAGGAAAGGGTTCAAAATCAACCTTTCTCAGGAAACAAGTTTAGATTTTCATAGAATTTCAAAACAGACTCTAATTTTACAGGAACTTTTCTAGAATGGATGGAGAAGGTGACAAGGCTTCTCAAGGGCCCCAACTCCCACCCAACGATGTTGACTGAGCACTCGTTGCTTGGCTAAGCCCCGTGCCAGGCACTTGACATTAGGATCTCTCATTTAATCCTCAAGCACACCAGTGCCAGGAGATCGCACTCCCATTCTACAGATGAGAACACCAAGATTCAGAGTTCACAACTTACCCAGACCCCATAGCTCATAGATGGCAGTTCCATATCCAAATATGCAAAATTCTAGAGGGAGGCCTTCTGAAGTCAATAAGCTAAATAAACTAGTGGAACAGATGCAATACTGAGCAACCCTGAGGAAGCTTTCTTTCCTTTTTGTTAGCTAAAAGTTACTACATTTTTCTTGGGCTCCGAAGTCTACCTGGATTGTGGTGTTTAATATGAGGCAGCTGCTGACTGTGCCCCAAAGCAACTGAAGCTAAAGAATTATCCTTTCTAAAGGCATCCCACCTGAGTGTCACAAAGATGTGCAGCTGAAACCAGGCCTGCCTTCTGTATATAAAGGAATCTGGGCAGGAGACCCACTGGCTCTTGGGAGAGGAGGTGGAGAGCTTCCAGCCGGCGGGAACTCCTGGTAGCATCATGTGGCTGCCGCAGTGCGTCTTGCTGTGTGCATCATTATCTCTTGCTCTGAGTGGCCAGCATAAGCCTGAGGCATCAGATTATTCCAGTGTGCTCCATTGTGGACTGGGGAGCTTCCAGTTTACTGTAAACCTCAGCCAGGAGGCAGCGTCTCCTCCGGTACTAATATCTTGGGGTAAGTTTGTATGACTTGCCTTGTTTAGCCAAGCCATGATACATCTTCTCTACTACCTAAGAGTTCTCCCTGGCTTCCTGTCTTGATACTTTCCCCCTTTCACCCCTTTCTGCAAAAGAACTAGTCTAAGTTACAACCGCATCTGATCTGAATGTGATTTCCCTCTTGCTCCTCTTACTGATAGTTGCTCCTTGGGGTCTAATGGCAAGGCTGACTGTCCTCTCTGGCACTGGTGACGATGGAGACTGACTGCCATGTGTTTTCACCTCTCCCCACCCCTCCAGACAAGCAAGGGCTGTTGCACAAGCTGCAGAATGACTCTGACTGTGGCACCTGGATAAGAAAGGGTCCGGGCAGCTCTGTGGTGTTGGAAACAAGCTACAGCAGCTGCTTTGTCACTGAGTGGGTGAGTATGACTCAGTGGCCAGGGACCCTGGGTGGAGCCCCTCATGCTACTATCCAGGCTGATGCCCAAGGGCCTGTCTCTCTAGGACTCCCATTACATCATGGCAGTCGGACTTGAAGGAGCAGGTGCAGCTAAACACAAGACAGTCACAGAGAGGAAGCTGCTTAAGTGTCCCAGGGATCTTCTAGGTAAAGGCTGGAAGCTCTCACGTTCTGGGTGTGGTGAGGGTGCTCTTGGTTTTCTCTGATGGGCTCTGTGCAGTGACACCTGGCACTAACGAAGGATCATCTCCCAGCTCTCCCCTCCATGGGCAGTCCTTAGGATAACTACCAACTGAAAGTCCTCAATACCGAGGCACTGTGGGCAAGCACCTCAGGTGTTACCTTCCCTAATCCTAACCCAGTGCTGTAAACATTACTTCTATCACCTGCCAGGAAGTTTGCCCAAGGGCCTATCGCTGATGAGTGACAGAGCTGGGATTCAAAGAACTCTCCCAGGACCAGGGGCTTTTCACCCATGGGAGGAATCGTAGGGAAGAAATCTGAAGCTAGCAAGGGGACTTGAAACATCTCCACGGAGCTGGCTGTGCACTGAGACGAGGACACAAGCCTCCCATACCATCAGCTGGGGGCTAGCTCTTCATTTCCCTAGGGAATAGGGTGGGAAGTATGGTTCCTACTCCAGAAAGTCTTGCCTGAGAGCCTGTCTTCAAAGTCAGAACACGCTCAAACTCACAATTCACTGCTTTGCTTCCCAATACATAGCCGGGATGGGCAGTGCTAATAGAATGAGGAATCACAGTCCCCACCCCAGTTCTGAACCAGACCTGAACTCAAAAACAATCTTCAGATAACTCATACCCACACTAGGGCTTGAGAAACCTCTAAAGAACAGAAGGAAGGATTGTTACTTGAAGGAGTAAGGAGCCCCCACTGCTTCCACCAATCTTGTCAGCATTCTTTTTTCAAAAAGTAATGTCAGGGCACTCTTACAAGGTGAGTTAATGTTGACAGCCTCCCAAGACTGTATCTACAATATGGAATAGGTACACCTAATTCAATCATCTATATATCTACGGGAATCCGATGTCAATGGCTTGTAACAAAAGGGTATTCAAGACTATTCCATGACCTAACTTGAGTTACTCTTTTTCAAAACCTAGCCCGAGATGCTCCAGGTACTGACTGGTGTGGGTCCATCCCAGCCGGGGACAGGCTGCCATGTGCACCTTCACCCATCTCTCGAGGAGACTGTGAGAAACTGGGCTGTTGTTACAGCCCTGGAGAGGTGAATTCCTGCTACTATGGAAACACTGGTGAGTAAGCGACCACACCTCTACAACCAGTTGAAGTGTGCCAATTACAGTGAGACCGGAGAGGGGGTTTGCCCAGAAGGCAAATATCAAATGATAGCAGGCTATTTGTCCATGTGACCTAGAACACTTGATCCCAATGTAACAGACCTTTCTACAGCTTCCATCGTCTGTTCTCCCAGATGCAGATATAAAGCCAATAATGCTCAGACTTGAAGGCTATGTGCCAGATAATTGCTAGCGCCAGGTAACTGCTAATTGACAGAAACTTAACTTTTCCCCAAGGAATAGCAACTTAGGGTGATGGCCTGGGATCATCTAGGGAGCCTCACTTTAAAGCTGTTGCTTTCTGCATGTCTCAAGTCCTACTGAGATTTTCTAACATAAACTCGCCCTCAAAGAGCCTGTATAGATTGGTGCAGAAATAAGTGGCTTTGGACATTTCATTGTGGCAAAAGCTACGATTACTTCACCAATCTAATATATTGCACGCTCTATTCAAAGACCTTAACTGACAAGCAAAATAGGTAGGAGCGACTAGCCCTTTCTTACACATGAAACTGAAGTAAGGAGGCTCAATACCTTGCTTGAGGTCCCACAATGAGTGGGGGGAGGCAAAACTCAACCCCATGCTCTCATTTACAGCCTGGGTTAAACTGGGAGATCTTGCATTGAGGTCATCAGCTGGGAACACTAGCTTCTCAATGGGATTAAAAGTAACGAAGTGGTTAGACTGTCATCTGGTTCTCCCCATGAAGGGAGAGAGGACCTGCCTTCACCCAGCTGCTCTGTTTCAGTGACTTTGGACTGTACCCGAGAGGGCCACTTCTCTATCGCTGTGTCTCGGAACGTGGCCTCGCCACCGCTGCTGTTGGATTCTGTGCACTTGACCTTGAATGACAGTGTATGTAAGCCTGTGATAGCAACGCAAGCCTTCGTCCTGTTCCGCTTTCCATTTACTTCCTGTGGTACTACAAAACAGGTGAGCAGTCGGGCTCTGTTCCTGGCTCTGGAAGTCAGGTGGGAACGTCCCAGTGACTAATGGGGGAGAGCTGAAAGACTTCTGCCATGAAGGATGCGCATGACTCCTGCTTGGAGCTCGGGAGTCTCTAGGGCAGGAGAATGCCTCCTCACCGAAAATTAATCTCCCCTGGTTGTTTAGCTAAGGCCATCACAGCTGTGATCTAGTTAAGGGGCTGTCTTTAACGAAGCTTAGAGGAAAGAAACCAGGGATGCTGACTGGAATTGGTAGCGCTTCAGCTGTCTCTTCTAGGTAATCAAATTCCCCTTCCAATTCCTTTGTCCTGAAATAAGGCAAAGGGGTAACTGGCCAGCTTGTTGCTGCTGTGTGTTCTTGCCTCTGCTGAAGGAACAGGAAATGTAACATACAACAGGGTAGTGTTGCTGGGGACTTGGAGCAAGTGGAGTCAAGCAGCATAATACTACTAGAAACGATGAAGATTTCTCCATCTGTTTCTGTAGATCACTGGAGACCAAGCAGTATATGAAAATGAACTGGTGGCAACCAGAGACGTGAAAAACGGGAGCAGTGGCTCTGTCACTCGTGACAGCATCTTCAGGTAAGGTCGTGGGTAACCTGACCCTGCTTGGCCAGAACGACTTCCCCTCTTCCGTAAAACAGGAGTTCTCCGTAAGCCCTGAATCTACAAATGAGCACTCCTCGGCAACAGGAGAACCTGCCTGCTACCTTGGTTCACTAATAGCACTGCTCACTACTTGATTAAGGCCATCTGTGTTGCTGTCTCCAATCCGCCTAAGCCTTAAGCTCACCTGAAGCTGTGCTATTTCCCTTAACTGGATTTTCTTTATTTTGTCCTTCTCCAGTCTCCTTTTCAGTTGACATTTTCCCATTCTGTCTTGGTCTTCTCCATTGTCCATGCTGCAGCCAAAAGAATTCCTTTAACACCTTGCATCTATCGGATCACACACCTTAAAGCTATGGAAAAACAAGAAAGCTTTCAGAGGAGCATCAGGACCCTGCATAAAACAGCCACTTCATCTCGAGCCTGTTCACTTCTAACATTCTCAGTCCCTCACTCACTCTTCCTTGACTGCTGACTGGTTCTTCTATGGAACTCACATAGGGTCTCAAGCACGCCCTTGCCTCCAGCCTTTGTTCTACATAGGGTGAGGCTCTCCCTGCTTCTAAAGTTTCTTTTACCTTCATAGCAAGATACCTGTAAGGTCTTCGCTGATCTTCTCTACTATAGGCAGCTGTTTCTCATGATACATGGTGCTTTCTTTATGCTTCTCTCCAAGTCAAACGTTGGTCCTACTTGGCGTATTGCTCTCCCCAACTAAAATACAGTTCCTGGCAGGGCAGGAATGATATCCTTTGTATTTGTAAGGCTGTCCAGCACTAAATGGTTCCTTAAGAAAGGATGTGTAACTGGCACCCACCTCCCACAGCCAGCTAGCTAAAATCTGGTTTCTCTGCAGGCTCCGTGTCAGCTGCAGCTACTCAGTAAGTAGCAGCTCTCTCCCAGTCAACGTCCAGGTTTTCACTCTCCCACCGCCCTTTCCTGAGACCCAGCCTGGACCCCTCACTCTGGAACTTCAGATTGCCAAAGGTATGACTGCCTTAGCTGGAGCAGCTGGCCTAGAGTCTAAATCCAGTCTTCTGGGGCATGAAGATCCTGACTTAGTAACAAGACACTAAGAGCTGTTTAATGGGGTGACAGTCCCTCAAGTCACTGAGAGGCTACCACTTTAAATCCTTATTTTGGCCTCTTGCAGATAAAAACTATGGATCCTACTATGGTGTTGGTGACTACCCAGTGGTGAAGGTGCTTCGGGATCCCATTTACGTGGAGGTCTCCATCCTTCACAGAACAGACCCCTACCTAGGGCTGTTGCTGCATCAGTGCTGGGCAACACCCAGCACAGACCCCCTGAGTCAGCCACAGTGGCCCATCCTGGTAAAGGGGTAAGTGGCTCTTCCATGCGTCTGTGTTGAGACTGTCAAGCCCATCCTGACTGCTGGATCTCTTGGTCTAGATGCCCCTACACTGGAGACAACTATCGGACCCAGCTGATCCCAGTCCAGAAAGCCTTGGATCTGCCCTTTCCCTCACACCACCAGCGCTTCAGCATCTTCACCTTCAGCTTTGTGGACCCTACAGCTGTGAAGCAGGCCCTTAGGGGACCGGTAGGATGTTCCCTTCCATGCCCCTCAGCAGGACTCTGAACCTCCCCAACTTAGAACTCCTCCCATGTTCTATTACTCCAGCAGTCAAGGAAGCCCTTTAGTGCTGGCTGTTGGTAATGCCTCAGAGCACCCCTTGTTGCCAATCACATGAATGACATCTGTCAAGCGGACTCTAGTTCTTTAGTGCTATTGTGTTACCAACTGGGACCATATCAATTTTCTGATAACTTCCTTGAACTTCTTCCTGGGGAGACAAATGGCATGGTTTGGAGACCCATGGCATGGTGGTACTACAAATGACCTGAATTCTGTTGGCTCCCAGGTGTATCTGCACTGCAGCGTGTCAGTCTGCCAGCCTGCTGAGACACTGTCCTGTGTGGTAACCTGCCCTGATCTCAGCCGTGAGTATCCAAACTCTCAATGTGAGAGGACAGACTTGAATAAATCTTGAGTCCCATGTCTAACCTTTCCTAGCCTCTGGCCAAATGACTCACACTGAAGATTGATCTTATTAAGGACTCTTTAAGTACTTACAGTGCCATAGAACAAAGATGACTAGCTTCCCAGAATCCCATGTCTCCTAAAACAAGCTACAAGGATTCTGGTAACCCTCAATCTTAGCTTTTTCCATATAAACTTGAATTCATCCAGGAGCCAAGGCAGCTTATGGCCTATCTCATGTCTCATTTTAACAAAATACACCTGGATAGTTGACAAACCCGTCTATACCTGCTTGACAGGTCTGGCAATGCAGCCTAAAGATCTATAAGTAGAAGGACTGGACCTAGAATGTCCTCTCCAGTTGGTTGGGGCCAATGCTTCTAAATAGTAGTCAGTGGGTCCACATGTCTATCTGGTTCTACCTATATTTGTCTAGCCTGAGTGAGGTGGAATTCATAACCTCAAGCTTTAAGTCCCCTCCAGCTCTGAGAATGGGACCAGTCATCTGTATCAGCCCTCCTGCGACCCTGAGGCACAGCATAGTAACTAAATAGTGCTTACTATGCAAAATTCATCAAATAATTTAACACCTTCAAATATGCTTATTACCCCTACTTCTAAAGAACAGAATCATCTTAGATTGAGGTCCTACAACTGACAAATAGAATTAAAACAATTCTACATTGTTTCTCCCTTTTTTTTTTTTTTTTTTTTTTTTTTTTGAGACGAAGTCTCGCACTATCACTCAGGCTGTAGTGCAGTGGCATGATGGCATGATCTCAGCTCACTGCAATCTCCACCTCCTGGGTTCAAGCAATTATCCTGCCTCAGCCTCCCAAGTAGCTGGGACCACAGGTGTGCAGCTGGGACCACAGGTGTGTGCCACCATGCCCAGCTATATTTTTTTGCATTTTTAGTAGAGATGGGGTTTCACCACACCACATTGGCCAGTATGGTCTCGATCTCCTGACCTCGTGATGCGCCACCTCGGCCTCCCAAAGTGCTTGAATTACAGACATGAGCCACTGTGCCCAGCCCTGTTTCTCACTTTCTCATTTTCCATTTGCATCTTTCTTAATACAACAGGATACAGAAAACATAAAGCTGTACTTATATTTCAAGTAAATCAAATTGTTTTACTTCATTTGAAAACCAGATCTCAACTTTATCATTAAATTTTCTCTGCACCTCAGCCTCCAAGTTGTTTTAATAGTTATCTTTGAATCACAGGGAAAGATCTCTGAATTACAAACATCTTACTGTCAAAGTACTCTATTTAGAAAGGGATGGAAGTTCAGAGATGGTTTCACCAGGACTTTGGTATAAAGATGTTCTGAGTCAATGGCATCAGATACAAAATCTCTCTTGTTCAAGTACATATTTATATACTTAATGGAATTTTTGTAAGGCACAGAACCAAGCTTTACATGGAGAGACTTGGCCTTGTACCATAACATTTTCTATCCCTGCCCTATGTGTGCAAAAAACAATGAATTACTAGGTCTCACTTCTCTAACAGGAAGAAGAAGAAATTCTGACACCAGTTTTCAGAGCACTACCGCTAATGTTTCTAGCAAAGGCCCCATGATTCTACTCCAAGCCACTAAGGACTCTCCAGAAAAGCTCCGTAAGTATCCAAGAGGGACGAGACCAAACTAGCGAACAAACTACCAGCGAAACCGAAGCTCCTTCCTCCTTCTTATTCCTCATTGTTCTAGTCAAGACGTTGACCTTCCAGTAGCAGAAGGCTGCTAGTCTTTGCCAGGACACTGAACCACTTGGTTTTGGCACATACTAATCTACCTTTCCATCCTCCAGGTGTTCCTGTGGACTCGAAACTTCTGTGGGTGGCAGGTCTTACTGGGACCTTGATCCTTGGAGCCTTGTTAGTATCCTACTTGGCTATCAGGAAACGGATGAATTACCCCAACCAAATGTGTCAATAAAACCAGATTGTACCCCCAGCCTGTGCTGAGCTGCTCATTTGAAAGGTAAAAGGTTAATTTTAGATGAGTTCATCTGTTCATGTCATTTTCTCTCAAGTTTGGTGGCAGTATTCACCTGAGAATAGAATAAAAACTGATACAATTTCACACTTAGTAGAGGCCTTAGCTCGGAACATGGAATAAAAGTCTTCCATAAGATCAATGAAACTAGGGTAGAAGTAATTATGAATCTAGATCACTGGTTCTCAAACCTGAATGTCCCTCAGGATCATGGGAGGGCTGGTAGAAACAGGTGATTGATCCCATTCTGGGAGTTGGATTCAGTAGGTCTGGACAAAGGTTTAAACTCTCCTTTCTAACCATTTCCTAGATGATGCTGATCTTCCCTGGTCTGAGCACCAGACTTAAACCAACATCTAGAACTTTAACTAAAAGGTATCTGATTATAGGTTGGCCCAACTGGAGGTGGCTTGATCATTAGAGACTTTGGTTTTGAGCCAGAACTGACAAGTGGTTTCCAAGTCTTAGTTCTTTTTTTTTTTTTTTTTTTTTTTTTTTTTTTTTGGGGATGGGGTAGGGATACCATCACTGACTTCTCAAGTTAAATGTCCTGTTTTAAGGAACTTTCTTGTAACTGATGCTGCTGGTCAGCCATACTCCAGGGTATTCTGTTTTCACTGAAGTTCTGAAACTAATCCTGGTTCTAACAATTTCACCTACTTATTCTTCAGGGAATAACTTGTAAAGTTTCAGCAAGTCAAGGTATTACACTCCTGAACAGCTACTCTGTTGTCAGGCAAGCCTACTTCAAATGACTAAAAACTATCCTTACAGGGATACTACACGTGTTTTTCATGCAACAAACTGAGAAGCTTGAAGTTAACATACTTGAGCCTCATGAAAATGACAGGCATGCATTCATCCCCAATGTCTAGAATACAGGAGAGATGCAAGTCAAATAACTTGCCCAGGGCTCCTTGAACAACAGACTCCAGTTCAAGTTTTAGCACTAACTTGTACTCTTAACTCCCCATGATACTGAAAACTGAGTTCGTCACAAAGACTAGTTACCAGTGGTAGCATAGATGCAGCTTCATAAAAGGTCATTCTAGGCTTATGGAAAGATGGTGGCTTGGGGAGATCATGGCTATGCTACATGCAAAGGTCTGTGTGTTGACCTGTGCTGAAGGCTGAGCTGTTTAGAGAAGCGTAGTCTGGCCGCAGTGGGGTAGTCCTGGGTGACTAGGTTCAACAACTCAAGTATAACTACAAGCTACCTTGGCAATCAGATGAAGCTTAATTTAATATTGAATATTTTAATATAGTCAAGGTTTTGCTTTCTTAATCTCTGAACCAGTATACTCACACTGAACCAGTATACTCACAGCAAATTTTAATTTTAATGTTAAACATTAATTGGAAATACTATGTACTTCTAGATATTAGGTTGTTGGAAAAACTTAGACCCAACCATTTTCCAATGGTTGAATAGTACCTGTTCTAAACTAAAATTCTTACACTAACCAGACTTTCAAGTGCTCAACAGCTGCTGCTGGCAGAGGGGTATTCTAGCTAGTTGTGTTATGACTCAAGTCTACCCAATTAAAATGTAGATTGCCCATATAGGCAGCATAGGAGGCACTGGGAATAAAGCAACGAGCAGGAAGGCTTCCTCAGCAACTCTGACAAATGTCAGATGATTAAAGGAAAAAAGTTGGGTAAATGCAGAAGAGAATTGCTAAGTCTCATCTTTTTCTATGAGGAAACAGATAGGAGCATAATTTTTAAGCCTATCCCTGTAAAACAAAGTATATACGGTCCTCTAAATGCAATTGACCTGATAAGCCAGGAATCTGAGTTGCCGAAAGAGAAGAGCTTAACACAGAACCTGGCCTGTAGGTCATTTGCCCCTCTAAGGAGGGTGGTAACATGTGTACCAACCAATGCATGCTGTAGTCAACCAAAGAAAACAACCCTGGCACTCAGGCCTCTACCTAGGACTTGCCAGGTTCTCTCTAGCAGGGTTTCTGGGATTTTTATATTAATATACTATATACTTTCAAAGGGAACAAAACTTATTTTCCACATTTTACCATGAAACCTCTTTTCAGAATAAGAGTAATTATATTGAACATACTTCTACAGATATAGTGTTCCTGGGTTTCTAACAATCTTTTAAAAATTAGTCTGACTATAGAGTGTTACAAGGAGAGACTGAAAACATCTCTGAATTGAATAGTCTCTGCCCAAAATCTAGCTTGAAGTCGAATTACTACTCGAAGTCAGTTTGAACCATTGACTTATAGTTTAATAATAGCCTCTTAGCTAAAGCAGAAACTTGATTTTTCCCCCCTCAGAGACTCCGTGAAACCTGCTTAATTGGGGGGGCATCTGTTTAATTTTAAACAGCCTCCATCAAGTAACTCACAAAAGATTACCCCAAACTCTTATTCACTCTCCTCCAAACGGGTTTAACTCATTTCTAGTCAAAACATTAGTTCTTTTCTCTCCAACAAAAGGATTGTTCTGATCAATCCAGAATAGTGTAATTCATCCCTGTTTATCTTTTTTTCTGGATAAAATCGCCTTTCATTTCTTGTGTGCCTCTTGCTAACTGAGCTTGTAGAATGTGTACATGGCAACGTAGCCTCCTATTCTAACAGTAGGGTAGCTTTCCACTGCACAGCTGTCAGCCTCAGCTTTCCCTGCCTTGTTTTGCCTTCATACTAGCTGTGGAACAGTCCTTGCTCCCCTAAATTCCTTGAGGGTGGATACCTATTTTTGGAAACAAATTCTTCTGTTAGTGCAGTGTCAGCTCCTCGTCATGCTTGTCTGTGAAACTCTGAAAGGGGTTCTGTGTCTGTCTGTTCATATCTCTCTGGTTTGACACTTGAGTCTAACTGCAGATCCTATTAGACTGGATTTTCTTCTGTATGTTAGCCAGGGTGTTCCTGTTCATGTTTGACTCAAAAAAAATGAGATTTCCAAAGTCAAGGAAGAGAGAGGCTGTGGAGTGAGAAAACTGCAAGTCATACTTCTGATAAAGGATTAGTGTCTAAAATGTAACTCAAGGAACCCAAATAAAAATGGGCAAAGGACAGGGGTATCTCAAAGGATATACAAATGGCCAATAAATCAGTGATACTACATATCCTCATTTATCAGGGAAATGCAAATTAAAACCAATGAGATCACCTCATACCCATCAGAATGGTTATTATCAAAAAGGAAAGACGTGTTGGTGAAGATGTAGAGAAAACGGAACCCTTGAACTCTGTAGGTGGGAATGGAAATTAGTATAGACGCCATAGAAAATGTTAGGGAGTTTCTTGGAAAAAAAAAAATAGAACTACCCCCATGATCCAGCAATCCCACTAGTCTGTATGTATCCAAAGAAGTGAAATTGGTAGGTTGATGAAATATCTCCCATAGTCGTCATAGCACTACTCACAGTAGCTGAGAGGTTAAATCAGGTTCTATCAATGGATGAAGAAAATGGCGTATGTATGCAATGGACTATTCAGTCTTAGGAAGTCTTGTCATATGTGACATAAATAAACTTAGAGGAAAATGTTAGGTAAAATACCAGGCATAGAAAATGTACCACATGCTCTCACTTCAATGTATAGTCTTGAAGTTGAATTTGTAGAAGTAGAGAGTTGAATGGTGGTTACTGGGGGTTTGTAGAGGATGAGATGGAAAGATGTTGATCAAAGGCTACAAAATATCAGGAATAAGTTCAAGGGATCTTTTGTATAATGTGACTACAGATGGTATTCGTTCATGTTAGTATGATTTAGCCATCCTATAATGTATACATGTCTCAAACATGTTATATACAAGTGTGTTAAAGCCAAAGAAATTCTATAGTATGTAAACAAGATGGAGAGAGGTTGAAGGTCTGCTGGTCACTGACAACTTTGGAACTGAAATCTTGAGAGGTGTTAAGATTCTTTTGGTCGCTTTACAGGGAAATATTTGTCTTGGCTTAACCTTGGAAGTTTAACCTGAGAGAACCCCTGAGGAAGCTGGTAGGTGACTGGAAACAGTATCTTGACTTTAGCTCCTTGTATTGAAACGTTGTATTGGATCCTTTTGGACACACTTCCCTTTTGTATTAAGAAATGAAGTCAGAGTACTCTAGTCCAACATTCAATGTGGAACTTGTTTCTGTGGTCTGCTAACGAGAGCAAGGGTAGGAAACCAGAAGTCAAAGCTGATGTTACAGAGCCATTTGGGAAGAAGCCCATTCTAACAGGTCCTGCTCCCTGCCAGTCCCATTTTCATCCAGAATATTGGCACCAGGACAGCCAGATACTGTTGGCAGAGATGTAATCTCTGTGAACTTGACTTGCTCGCCTTTGAAATAGAACACTATCAATTATTTCCAGCTATCTGGCTCTAAAATTTTGGTTCTTAGAACATTCTTAATCCCCTTCATTTATTTTCTGTGAAAATTTCTGAACTCAACTTTCTCACCTCAAATAGAACACTGTCAATTATTTCTAGCTATCTGGCTTTAAATTTTTGGTTCTTAGAACCTTCTTAATCCCCTTCAGTTACTTTCCATTGGTCTTGATTTCCAGCTATCTCTTGAAAGCTCTACTCCCATGATTTCTTGCTAAGTTTTCATGCTGTGAGCGGACAGTATGTTTTGTGTCTTATACCACTGTACATTTTGCCTTATAAGAGCTAAGTGTTAGTTACTGTTTAATAAAGGTTTGATCAAGCCTTACTGCAACATCTGCAGGCCAGAGGAAGCAGATCGGACAGCTGTGCCACTTACTAATTGCCTCTCTTCCCACTTTTTCCAAGAAGTACTGCTTTTTAACCCTGGCTAATGTGAAGGACACTGCAGCAGGCATTGCCACAAGGAAAGCACCTTCTCCAATCCCTTCAAGTACCTAATCAGGTGACAAGAAATGGCCAAATCAAGTGAAATTTCTCATGTTGAGCACAGTGGTTGGGAAGGATACTTCCATGAAACTAGTCCATTTTTGTTTTAGGGGTGGCAGA